GGAATAGAAAATTTGCATGAGTATATTAAGTGCAGATTAAATCTTACCAATTTAGCTTTTAAACACACAAAGCTCTACTTAGCATATGCGAACAGATTTCTCAAAAGCTTATAACCTAGCCAAATCTGGGTGGCTTTTCACAGGACCAAAGGGCAAAAAACGCCATCCTTCCAAAATTTAAAATCTTTTCTTCAAAGTATGGAGGTGTTAGAGCTTTTCAATGAAACAGTTATGAACAACTTTTTCCCCTAATTTAATTCTTTGAAACAGCTGAACTGTTCTGAAAAGCTTCATCAAAAAACTCAGCTAAAGGCAGACACTGTGGAAAGTTTCAGATCAGATTGGTCAAGTTATAAGCAACTGTAAACAGGATCTGATAACGGAATGCATCAGTCAAGGTCAGCAGATAGTGCTAGTAGTACCACTCTATCATGAAGATAAATGGGAAAAGTGGAGCAATGCAGGACACAGAAATGAAGTACTTCTAAAAAGGAATAATTAGATTTGTATATTTTAAAAATGTGTGTGTTAAGCACAAAAGAGGAAATTATTTAATATCTGCAACACATGCTACATTACTGTAACTGTTTAGAAATATCCCAACCCTTTTCCCCTTCTCCAATAATTATATACTGACACTGACCACAAAGGCAATTATCTACATTTGCATGAAACAAAACAAGGTATCAAATGCCATGCCTTATAGTTTGCAGATAAATGTATTTCTGTTCATCACTCTTGAATCCAAAAAAACAAGCATAGCCAGAAGTTTTCATTTTTCCAGTAATCCTGTAATTGTAAAATACCCCTCTTAGAATTCTTTACTCATTTTGGTGATGCACTGCAGAAATATGCTACTGTAGCATAAATATACCACAGAAGAGTTTGAACAGATTTTTACAAATTCAATAACTCTAGTTTTCCCAGATTTTATGGAAATAACAGGATGTGTTAGCTTTCCTGCTCTTCAGATAACGTTGTGTTCTTAAACTTCTTGCACTCCAAATCTAAAGCTTAAGCATTTCTCAATAAAGATATTTGATATGCTATCCGCAGGCTAACTGCATACAATTAAGCATAAGCAGTGAAAGATGTAGGTGAACTTGACACTTTTAGGAGTAAAGAGGAATACTAAATTCTTAGGAATTTTATAGCACACTTATCACAGGTGGAATCAAATACATTCAGTGATTAATAGTAGCCATTATGTAAAAGCTTGATGATTAGATGAAATTATTTTAACAGTTAATTCACAAAAGAGCTATTTCCAAGTACTGTTTAAGAAGTACACAGGATTTCCATTAAAATGTTATGTTTTGTAATTTTATACACTGGAGGCTTGCAACAGGACCAGGGCATTTGAATAGCAAAGTCACCTTATTAACTGATTTCACTCTTGTTAATTTATAACCTCAGTGTCCAACACACTAGTGGAGTGCGGCTAGTTGGTTTGAATGATGTAGCTATTTGGCTGGTTGAGTGTGTCTAGTTCGCTATAGCAGTAGCTACTATAGTGACTAATGCTTCAGGACTGAATGGACACAATGGATATATAACTATTTAGAGCACAGGTAGGCCTACTTCAGAGGAGTAATAAAAAGCCAAAGCCTTAAATGATGAGCAGCAGTGATGTTAGAAGCGAAGTGGGGGAAAAGGAGAGCTTATACAATTAGTAACTTCTGCACACCATCCTATCTGAATCTTAGGACAATATCAGCCAACCCAATTCCTAAGGTTTTGTAAGAGTTACGTCAAGACTTAGAGCTGGAGTAACTCTTGGGAGTAGGAAGTTTCCTCAATTCCAACCCTTCAGAAACCTGTCCTCCCTTCTACACCTCTTCCAGTAATGTATTAACAAAAACACAACTCTACCTCCCCCCCATACACACGCACAGGATCAGCTGAGCAGGGAGAACTCAAGTCATGAAGATATGGCTGTGTCAATTTCTACCTCGTCTCACTTTTACTCTTGGATTTGGACAGTAACATGATCAGTTTTACAATGTTGATGTGAAGAAGCTCATGGAGGAGTTTTCAAATTCACATTATTTCTAAATGCCTTATGTCAAAGCTTCTTTAACGGCCATGATAGATTCATTTAACAATAACTAAAAAAGGCAATGTCTTTAAGGGGGGAAAAAAATCAGGAAATAGACCATGTTGCTAGCTTCTCAACAGAAATGCAACTGACTATTTCCACCAAGCTAGGGTCATAATTATAATCTTAACAAATTGACTTCATCATTGCCAATTAAAATTAAACATGATGTTAAGATATCTTCATTTCCAATGTAGAGAAATTAAAAATATTCAAGATTTCAGCACTTTGAATAGTGTCCTATTAATTTACACACATACTTGTACAGATTGGACCTCCCTGGTCCAGCACCCTCAGGACCTAACCTGTCCCGGATGAGGGGTTTTGCCAGACTAGGGGTAGCCATTTCTGGCCCCCCTGCCACCAGCCCCGGCCCAACCGCTACCTTCCCACGTGGGCCCCCTACCTGTGCACACACCAAGCTCCCCACGGCCACACCCAACAGCTCCCCCCACTCCTCCCGTTCACACCCCAGGCTCTCACTGCTACGCTGTGCAACCCTGTGGCCTCTGCACCAGGCTCCTGCTGCCATGCATCGGGCTCCTACAGCCTTGCTGGACAACCCTGCTGCTGTGCATGGGGCCCCCACTGCCTTCCCAGGAAGCCCTGCTGCCAGCTTGCAAGGCTCCCTGGAACTAGCCCTCCACTGGGACTAGATGACAGATGTTGCTGGGCCAGTGTGACGTAGTGGGGGTACCTTGCTGGTTGCTATGCTTGGCAGTGGGTTGTGAGTGCCCTCCCCTGGCTGCAGCACGGCCCAGCAGGGCAGAGGATGAGTCACTAGGCAAGGGTCTCTCAACCTGTCTGACCAGCTACCCCCCAGGGAAAGAAACAAAGGAAGGTGGAATGCCGCCCCTGGCTGGGGGGCAGGGCTGGAAGAGTTTTAGTTTCAGTCTGGGAAGCAGGGGAGAAGGAGCTAGGGAGGGGGCTGGGATTGTAGGGCCCAGCCACCCCCCATCTCAAGGGGGGGCACTGAGGCCTCCTAGCCCCAGTTCCTGTGATCAGATTACATCTGTGCTGTGCTGTATCCTGGAGAAGCAATAAACTCCCTCTATTCTACTGGCTGGTGGAGTCTGTTCATGCCACCATGGGGGGGCAGAAGTCGGGGAGACCTCAACGCGCCGTCACACTGGTGTCAGGAGTGGAATGCACTGCGCCCCGTGGATGAAGCTTCCAGCGGCGAGCGACAAGGCACAATAGAAGCAAAAGCCCTGGAGCTAGGCATGCTGGAGACAGAGCGAAGCGGTTCCTGAGAATCGTGGGGCGCTGCAGCACTAGACTGGTGAGTCTGCACCAAGGGGACCAGGAGGAGATGGCCTATGCCCAACTCTTAAAGGCAGAGCTGGTGAAGCTGTGCAGAGAGAGGGGCTTGCCTCTGCAGGGCGCAACCAAGGCCCAGCTGATTGCCCATCTGGAAGAGAATGACCAGCCACGGGACCAGGATCTTGTCCCCATGGGGAGCCAGACCCCTCCTGAGAGTGTGTCAGGCTCTGAGAGGGGATGGGGCACTGGAGCCCGCCGGAGAGGCCGGCAAGCCGTAGCCCATCTAGGACAGGAGCCAGCCCAGCAGAGCTGAGGTGGCTGGAAGTAGAGGATCGAAAGAAGGAGCGCCAAGATTGAGAAAGGGACCACCAGGACTGAGAGAGGCAGCGACAGCATGAGTTGGCCATGGCAGAGCGGAGAACCGGAGGGGCCCCGGCTGCGCTGGGTGTAGATGGGCCCAAGGTCCCAGGGCTTCCAGACGCTTGGAGAGGCTCATGGTAGGACAAGGGAGACATAGAAGGACAAGGGAGGAATAGACGGGTTCCTCAGCTCCTTTGAGAGGGCCTGTGGACTGCAACGGATCCCCCCAGCTGACTGGCTGCAGGAGCTCATCCCCGCACTGAACCAGGAGGCGGCCGGAGTGTTCAGTCAGCTGGAGGACCTACAGCCAGGGGATTACAACCGAGTCAAGGAGGCCCTGCTGCACAAGTTCGGGCTGACCCCCGAGATGTACAGGAAGAAGTTCCGGGGGGTACAGAAAGGGCCACGGGAGACCTATGTGGACCTGGCCTCCCGCCTGGCGCAATACGGCCGCAAGTGGGTGTCTGGAGTCGGAGCCCAGACCACAGAGGAGCTGCTCAAGCTGGTCATGATGGAGCAGTTCTATGAAGCATGCACACCCAGATTGAGGCTGTGGCTCAAAGACCGAAGACCAGAGAACCCTCAGGAGGCCGGGAGACTGGCAGATGAGTTCACGGAGAGCTGGTCAGGGTGTGAACGGGAGTCCCAGAGAGAAAGGGAATCGCACAGAGACCGGTTCTCGGCTGAGCGACGGAGAGAGACACCTCCGAGGCGGGCCCCAGGGACCAGGACCAGTCATCGATGCCCCAGAAAACCAGCCAGAGCCTGGGCACAGCCGACCCAAAAGGGCCCACAGAACTTAACTTGCCATTGATGTGGGCAATGAGGCCACAAGAGGGCTCAATGCACCAGGCACAAGAACAGGTCCCATGACCTGGGACTTTCCAGGGTTAACTGGCTGGGGCTGGAGGAAGGGCAGGCTGCCCCAGAGGCAGGGGCTGGCATGCAAATCTCAGCTCAGAGTGGGGGGAAGGATGCTCAGTGCACCCAATAAACTTCCTCTATTCTACTGGCTGGGGGGGGCTGTTTGTGTCATTACGGGGGGTGCAGGAGAAGGGAAAACCCCAATGCGCCGTCACAGCCAGAGAGCCCCAGTTAAGAGAGTTTTAGCCTAGATGATTGTGCCTTTGGCACATTAAAGAAAAATAAATGTTACATCTTTTATGTAAAAATTAGTCAAAGCAGAAAATGGTAGTTTGCTATATATATTTCAAACAATATGTATTACATATTTAGTCCTATGAATAGGAGGTACACATGTATGGAGAAAAAAGCTTACATTGATGTTTTCTAATTGTAGTAGGTGTACTGTATAATAGGATTTTATGTCCTCAGATACTAGCCTCACACAAAATCCTGTTTCCTTGAACATCATGACTTCCTCTTCTTCTGTTGGCCAGTACTGTGCACATTTTACCTAAATTAAAATATAAGTAAGTAAGTATTTGCCCAATGAGACAAGCAACAAAAATAAACTACATGGGATCACATATTATACATGAGATTGGAGACTCCGATGTATTATGACAGCTTTTCTCTCCATTCTGAATAAGGAGATAAATTATCGCTGTCATTAAGCTAAAACGTTAATGAAGGGCATGTCTACACCAGGGATGTTAAGATGTAGTTAACTGGCTAATTGAGTAGTCAACAAAGGAAAGCAGCCCAGCTCAGTCCCAGCTTGTACTGGGTCTGGGACCTATCCTTGCTGCAGCTCTGCATTTTAAATGTAGCAAGAGCCAGGCAGACAGGCAGCCCGGCACTTAGTACATTTAAAATGCAGAGCCGCAGCAAGGGAAGGTCCTGCACCCAGCACAAACTGGGATTATGCCAGACTGCCTTCCCAGCTGGAGTAGTTTCTGTCCTCAGGGTTCCCAGTGGAGAGGGGCTGCTGCTGGCGCAGCCTCTGCCCATGGCGAACCTGGGCAGAGTACATTAGACCATTAAACTTTCCTAGCAAAGAATTTTTGAATGACCAAAGGCTTTTTTGACTATATAGTTAAAAACTATTGCTATATATCTAGATATACAAGGAGTGAGACATGCTGGCAAAAAAGCTCTCTCAAATTATTCTTGTACAGGTTGAACCTCTCAAATCTGCTACTCTCTGGTCTGGCAACATCCATGGTCCCGCAAGACCATTGATATTGCTGGACCAAAAACCCCTCAGCTGCAGCTGGGCCAGTGGCAACAGGGCGAGCAGCGGGCTGGGGAGCCCTAGAGCCCAGAGAGGCAGCCAGCAGGAGAGCATTGATTCATGAGGGTGCTCTACTTAAAATTTTCTCTGACTTGTAAGGAAGTGAAGACAGATTTAACTTCATTTCTGATGGTACCACAAGGTCAGACTTTCATTATCACCAATCATTTGTAAACAGAAACATTGTTGCTATTCAATTTTGAAAGAAAAAATCTCAACAGAATTGAACTTAAGCTAAATCTCCTACTTTCTACATCTCATCCTGGAATCTACCTAAGCCCTTGATCCTACTCCCATTTTAGTTCTTTTACATTTCACTTTTTTAGGGGTTTTATTTCATCTTTTTAGACTTGTTCTTATTGTAGACTATTCCAAATTAACTGAATTTCATCTCTTAGCTCCACTACCTCATTTAATCAAGGTATCGGAGTCCCTAAACAACTTGAAGAGTCTGTAATTACTGTCACTTGCCCCCTCATATTATTTTACTTGAAAGTTATCATTTCTAGTCCTATTTGTAGAATTAGTATAGTATCTTAGTTGTCACAATAGTCAAATGAGATAAAAACAGCCAGCAAGATTAAGTTCTCTTACACTGCTTATTTAAGCCACCAGCAATAGAAAAAAGTTGTATTAGTTCTTCACATCAGGACACTGCAAACAATTAAGAAACAACTTTCATATCACAATTAAGTATGGGGTGATTGCATTAAATACATGTAATGCAACTTGTACATAAACTGTCACTACTTACCAATTCTTTCTCAACAATTCTATTTAGCATGACAACTGCTCTGGTCTTTTGTTGCCATACCATTAGCCAAAAATGACAACAAGTATTTGGAAGTGGACCCTGTGGAGATAAAGAAAGAAAAAAGGGAAAACATTCATGTAGTGCTCAAAACAAGAGTTAAATTAACTACATATTAAAAATATTCTTCAAAAGAAAAACAATGTAAGCCAGGGAACATCATGAGTCAATCACACAGTTCACGCACCAATGCAAAATATCAACATAAATTGGGTACTTCACAATGCAACTGTGAGGCCTTCCCATTAGCTTGTCTACAAACAAAAACATTCTGAGACTCATAATGAAAGTGATCAATTTATGAACGGCTTCAGAAAGTTCATGTAAATTAACAAATACACACTATATTCCTTAACAGTTATTAAAAAACTATTTTGTTGACAGGATATCAGTATCAGGTCACATCTCCACTGGCCACACTGGAGATTTATTTTCTGGTGTTATATTTATCAGGTCTAGTTAAGACTTATTAAATTGAACGCTGAGGATGGCTCTGGTACGCCCCTCAGTCATGAGGTGTAAGGAGGCCGACGAAGCTTTTGCTTCCATTGGCATCCCTCTGTGAAGGCTGCTCCAAGCTCGGTTTAAGGTACATGTTTTAAGTAGCTGGAGTTGCATACCTTAACCTGACCTTCCTGGTCTACTGTAGGCCTGGTTTCAAAGAGAACTATGCTTTTTTCAGGCATTACTGGTGCAGAATTTGATGAATTCCAACTGTTCTTTTGATCACCATTTTAAAAGCTAAGACCTATTTCTGAAATGTAATTTTTTTATCACAACATTCCATCACCTTACATAATCATGAAGGTGATTCCTTTAAAAGCTGTGAACATCCAAGTTTTTTAACATCATTAAGTTTAGACCAGCAAATTCATGACAGCATATACAGCAAAATCCTGAAGTCTCCAAGTAAATTTAGTCCAGTTCAAGGACATTTTGCAGGCATTTTTTCTGTTAAAGAAAACTTTTAAAAAATGACAACTTGGGGGCATTTCAGTTTCCTTGCCTTCTGTGAAATAGTGATTTTCACAGGGTCCTATTTTTATGAAGTAGATTTTTCTTGTCTTTTGCGTACACAGCGTGAATGATTCTATGTATGTATGTATGCATTAGAATAGTAGTTTAAAAGCCCACTCCATATACAAGATCCAAGATTCCATATATGGCAAGGTACCATCCAAAACGTTGGCTGGACACTAATAAACACATTACAAAAAAATATTCTTAAGCTAATTTTACTTACGAAAAGAGTAGCTATTTTCAGTCCTATTATTTACACACAGGTTGGACCTCCTCAGTCCAGCACCCTTGGGATCTCACCAGCCCCAAACAAGCAATTCTGCAGGACCATTTCTGGCTCCTCTGCTGCCACATCAGCCTGCTATCCCACAGCTGACCCCCTGCAGCCACTCTGAATGGGCTCCCAGCCTCTGTGACAGCCCGCTGCCCCACCACCAACCCCCTTGCAGTCAGCCCAGCTAGGCTCCTGGCCCACGCAGGACTCCTGCCTCTGGCCTTCTACTGGGATTCGTTGGTCCAGCAACATCCGTGATGTTGTCATACTAGAGAGAGTCACAGTTTAGAGACATTCAACCTGTATTAAGCAAATAAGTCAAAGTGGTTCCAAGTGGTTCAAATGTTAAGGCCTTGAAAAGTCAACAATGATGACTGGAAAGTTTCCCTACCGATTCTTCTCAATGCATGAGACACTAAGCAATTTTCGCAGAATTCAATCTCCCATTTAGAAAAAGATGAATTTTCTATACTTTATTGTTGAAAAAAGCCTTCCCAATGTTACCTGAATATACCCTGAGGCTCAATTGTTTTCCTTAGTCTGCCACAAGAGGTTCAAAACCTTTACAATTGCTACTGTTTGGCAACACCATGTGCAAGAAACTTACAAGACTTAAGGCTGTCTACACTTGCACGTTTTGTTGCCAAAAAGCAACTCTTATCTCTCCCCTTCCCTTTATTGTTGAAATCATGCAGTGTGTGTTACAATAAGTTTTTTGTCAACTTTATCTATCTCCAGCACATTTTCCACAATGCCCCATTAACCACGCAGGCCAACCCAGCGCTTTGAACTCTGCTGCTCTGCAGCCATGTAAACAGATGCGCCCCTCCCACCTGCAAACTCCAGGAACTTAACAAAACAAAAGCGAGCCAAACACATAATGGTGTTTGGCTCATTATGCAGTAGTCCTCATGGCATCTTCTCAGGGCAACACAGGTGGCTCTTCCTCAAAACACTCTCCTGCAGACTTTTTGGATCATGTCGGTGTTTTGGTTGAAGAATCAGTGCAGTTAGCTGCAAGTGACCCATAAGAACTGGGAACTATATAGTCACATTTCTTGAGCCCTGTGTGAGAAGGGGTATGAGCAAGACACCCTACAATCCAGAGCTAAGATAAGCCTGCCAGAGTTTAGTTTGCCAGAAGGCAAAGGAAGTACACAAACATCTAATGCTGCATCCAAACCATGCAGTTTTTAAATCAAGAACTGGACGCAATCCTGGGTGGGATTCACACCCAAGGAGAAATGTAGAATATGTCCCATAGCACAGAGTCAGAAACACTTGTCCAAGAGACAGATGTTATTGATAAATAACTTCTGCATATTAGCAACACACGCAAAATTCCTTATCCAGCAACCTTCCTGCTATACCCACACATTCAAGTTCACAATCAAGTAAGGTTGCTCCCCCCTCCCTCCATCACACTCCACTTCCTATGAAAACAGTTGTGACTTTGAGAGCTGGATGTTAACACCATGATGTGGTTTTCCAATAACCTTTACCACTGAATACCCTGACTGAAAGACATGAATAAAGACAAACGTTTAGACATGACTGTTTTATGTGACAACCCACACCAATCACTCTGGCCCCTGTGGAAACCTGAAACAGCCCTGAGGTTGTAAGGGAATACCTTGCTCAGGATGATAAGTGGGACGAGGCAGGGAAGCAACTGCAATGAACAAAAATCAGTGCCTCTCATTGTCACGTGGGGTTTCCCCTCTCGAATCCTCTGGTCACGTCGTTCTCTTCGCCACACTGCCCTCCGGCAGTGCCCAAGTCACTTGCTCTGAGCCCCCCTTCCGGGGGTTGGTGTCTCTCCGGCAGGCCTTACTTCCGGCCTAGCAGGCTGGCAGTTGTCTGTCTGAGCGCCCCTGGCCCAGCCTTGACGCTCTAGCCCTGCCCTAGCTCCAGGGAGCGTCCTGCTCCCTCAGCAGCCAGGCCCACACTCCCTTCTCTGAAGCAGCCCTCCCCTTTTATGGCTCCCAGCTGGGCCTTAATTGCTATGAAATATGCTTACCTGAAAGTATCTTATCAAAACTAGATCCTTGTACCATTCATGCATGTGTTTTGTTTAAAAGGAAAGCGGGAAGAGCCATGTTCAATAGATCAAGTAACCATTTGTACATTTTCAGAAGTGTTGAAAAAAATCTCAGTTTTAGAAGCATTTGAAAACTTTAACATATAGATTGCTATGAAATATGCTTACCTGAAAGTATCTTATCAAAACTAGATCCTTGTAGCTAGTTTTTTTTATCTGATTATGTATTTCATTTACTAACTGAGGAGAACAGTGAGGATGGCTTCATTCCATCTCCAGAAAGTAAGGCCATGCCATGACAGAATGTGTATAACAACTGTATAACAATTTGTTATCTGGTACTACTTACCTGTGTTAAAATATAGCTTCTTTTGGCTTCTTCTATGACTACTAAACTGGCATTGATATAGTCATTCTCTGTGTTCTGCAATTTTACACGACTATGGTCATCTAACAATAGAAAAAGTTACAATTAAGACATGACAAAACATACAAGGAAGCTAAACTCATGTGACAAATTCATTTCACGTATTTCCAGACTGTGTGTCATGATGTGATATCAAGGTTTAAGTGGCACTCACTTGGTCTAAGTGCAAAACTCATGACTTAGTTAGAGACGTGGTGTGGCAAGCCAGTTAAAGTACATCTTTAACTGGTTAACATTTTAAAACAGGATTTTACATTCCTAATAGTTATGAATAACTAATGTGATATTTATACCACATCATTTCATCAACTATTCCATAAGTTTTAAACACATGAAAACTCTGATTTTCCAAAGATGTTTGGAAACATCCATATTCTCTATATAATCAGAATTTTAGATAACCATTCAGTAGTTCTTTCAGAAACAAGGAGTCAAAGCCAGAAGCGAATGTTTGGTAATCCAGAATTAGATGTGGAAGCTCTATTTTGAATGTACATATATTAGGCCCCAACACTGATGCCAGATGTGTAGCCTCTATGGCCATGCAAAGCTCTGTCAATTTGAAGCCACTTAAAGTGAGCAGACTCTCAGAATTGTAATCACTCAGCGTTTTTTGATTCCTAACAGATTATCACAGATGTAATGCAAATATAAGAATGTAGCATATTAACAGATGGGGAAACTAACTAAATATATATAAAGCAAATAAAATGGAGACTTAATTAAAGATCACCAAGCAGACCAGTAACAGAGGTAGGAATTTATTATTTGTTGACCTAATCCTCTCAGTATACAACCAAAACTCCAAGGTGACTTTAATGATAATTATGAAATTGCAAATCTTGTCAGGATTAGCAAAACATGAAACAAACTATATGCAACAGAGGAAACATTAAAATTGCAACCTGGAGTATATATCCTTAATGCTGCATTAATAGATTTTTACACTAAAGTGTTTAGTGGTAGTGAATTGCAGTGCTACTCAGATTACATCCTTGCGCTAATTTGTTTCCTAAGTCTTCAGCACATGACAAACTCAAAAGAAAATCACTGGCCTATATACAACTATACTGTTGCATACAGTTCCCAACTTAAGTCAATCTTCAACATCTTGAAGGCAATTTAAAATACAATATGTAAACAAGGATTGTTAATGCAGTAACAATGCTTAAATTTTAATCAAGGATCAAGAAATTCACAGTCAAGGTCTGCACATCTTTGCCCCCTTGCATACACACTTTATTATAAAGTCTCATTACAATCATATATCATTGAAATAGGCTCTCTCAATGGATAATGTTAATGAATTGTACTTTGACCTAAGCACAGATGGAACACTGTATTAATGCATCTATGCTACATTCTCATGAAGTGAGGTTCCCCTAATTTGTATTCCTGAAAGTACAAGAACCCTTTCCAAAAACAGTTACACTGGCATTTGGTAACTTTAATTATCGCAAACCGAAGCATTTAAAAGGAAATGAACAAATAAGGATAAGTATTATACTATCCACATCTTTAAAAGATATTTTTAAAGAAATATACAGAAATGGATCACCACACATTTAAGCTCATGATCTGTTAACAAATACAATGCAAAATAAATAAATTTTTTGGTAAATGACTAGGTGCAAAGCAGTGAAAAATTAAACCCCTAACATTCAACTAGGCAACCCACTCACTAGAAAAACTTTCATTCAAAGCAACAAGAGAAAGTTTGGGTCCAAAACCACAAAACAAAATCCTTAATAGTTTGGTTAAATATAATCTATTTATCAAAGATAAAGACAGCTAATACACAAGTTTCAAAGAGATTTAACCACACAGAAAATATTAAAGCACAGTAAGCCACTTTTGAGCTAGAGGGAAGCAAAAAATAAAACTGAAGTAAAATATTTCAAATCAGTGATTTTCTAAGTAAACTTTAACAAGAAAAATAATTTCCCCCCTTCTCCTCCAATTTAGAAATATTCTTTTTTGCCTTCAAAGTTAACATACAATTTTCAAGCAAAACCCAGTTTTTCAAGACAAAGTATAATACTTGGAAAAGGGAAGCTTAACTGAAATCATAACTTGGAAAAATTGTTGTATTTCCAAAATATACAAGTCAATATTGATTCATAAAGAAAAATCTATCTACAGAATATGAAAGTTACAAAAATTATGCCACAGGGAAACCTGACCCAATAGTACAGTTTTTATAAATGGCCCCTCAAGCATTGGGCTTCTCTCTACTCATCCTCAATGCAACAGCACACATTCATTGACCTTTGAGAGCACATTGCAGGCCATTGGGGACAGAAGTACACAGAGTTGGGATAATTTTGGTTTCTCTTTTCTTGGCTCTGGGAGTTACTAATGCAAACATAGTTAAACCAGTATTCCTAGTATGTGGCAAAGGACCTGGAGCCATAGGTAGGATTTTTTTTTAATTGTATACATCCAGTGCTTCTTTTTTTTTTTTTTTAATGGGGGGGGGAAGGGGGTGGAGAAGAGGTGCTGGTACTCCAGGGGAAAAGTTGTTGAGCTCTGACTGGAGGTGCCAGTACCGTGTACCGGGCAGTACTGTCACAAAAAAAGCACTGTATACATCCATATGCTAAGAAGAATATGTATAACTAGAAGACTTATCCAGAGTTGATCAGGTCCTTCACTGCATGGAGCTGGTGCAGGGGGGAGGAGTGCAGGAGTCAAGGCAGGCCCTCAGCAATGTGGGGGAGGAGTAGGGATGTTAAGTAGCAATTAATTTGCTAGTCAAGCACTTCCGCCTTTGAAATGGCTGGGAACTCTTGTACAGTTCAAAGTTGTCACACCTTATGGAGCCCAGGGTCAGCTGCGGAGTCCCCAGCTGATCCCGGGCTCCCCACAGAGCTGTCACTTTGAAATGCTGGGAAGAGCCTGCTGTCAGGCTCTTCGTGGTATTCAAACGGCAGCACCGCATGGAGCAGCTGATCCCGGGCTCCGTGTGGCGCTGCCACTTAAGTATCCCCCCTCCCCTTTTCTCTCCCCTTGCCTCCACTATCTGATATTTGCTTATCAGATAGTCAACTAATCCTTTATATCCCTAGGGAGGAGAGCAGAGCAAGAGGTGTAAGGGGTGCAAGAGTGAGGGGTGAGTAGGGGCTCAGGGCAGTGGGTCCCATTGGGGCTTCCCTCCCACCCCTAGCACCGTGGCCAAAGACCAGAGAGAGAGGTGAAGAGTTTGGGGCAGATGGAGACTACTTACCTGATGTAGTGGCAAGCAAGATGGCAGAGCCCCAGCTTAGCTGACCACTCTTGGTGGTGTGGCTGCCCTCAGTATTGAGTCCCTGCTCTGTGCGCTCCTTCCTTTTATGTCCTTCCTCTGCCACCTCCCTTTCCATGTTACAGAAAACATTCCCATTTCTGGCACTTCCCATTTTCTTGGCACAACCAAATCCTGACCTTACTTTTAGTTAGGATAAGAGGAAGCTGCATACCAAACGTGCTGATTCTAGCACTTACCATTACGGAGCAGTTCTTGAACAAACTGACTCTCAGACATTTCTAGAATATATAAATAGATCGGAGGCTAACAAATGTGTAAATTATATTTTTAAATAAATGCATGGTATTAGGGATGTTAGGTACTATGTAACTGAATAATTGTGTAACTGCATCAAATTTTAGCAGTTCATGACTAATTGATAGTCCCTGGAGGCAAGGCTGGCAGCCAGTGGACTCCCAGCCTCCCTCTCTGGGAGCACCTGCCGCCCCATGCTCTGCTGATACAGAGGAAGCAGAGTAGGAAGACAGCAACCCCTACCCATGGGGAGCCAGAGCTCTCCTCGGACTGAGGCTGCACAAGCATCCACAGAGCAGCCTCCCCTGCCCTGCTGCCTCTATTAGAGGCAGCAGGGTGGGGGAGGGGGACAGGCAGAGCCAATGCTTGTGGGGAGCCAGCTTCCCCAGCACCAGCTCCTGCCTGCTCCTTCTCCCCTGCTACCTCTGTAGGAGACAGAAAAGGTGGGCACACAGCTCCTCACATGTATCGGCTCCCTCTTGCCCCCCTGCATTGCTGCCTCTGATAGAGAGGCAGCAGCGGGAGATAGGAAGAGGGGGAAATAGGTGGCTCCACGGGATCTTGTGCTCAAGGCACAGGCACTGACTCCCCTCCCCTTGCTACCTCTGATAGAGGCAGCAAGGGGTGTGTGCGCACATCCAGTCAACAGGATTAACCAATAAGCCCAAGCTTATGGTTAATCACGTAGTTGACTGCACATTGACATCCCTATAAAGTATCTCCTTACATTATTCTGTCTGGAAAAGAAAATGTTAAAAAAAAAACTGTACCAAAAGAAAAACCTATTATCTGAAATATTTCTGCTGGACTGAAACCAAGATCTTTGTAAATATTACATGTCATTTTCCCAACAGGAAAAACTTAAGATCTTGTTATAGTAAATCATACATACAGACACTAGTGTTCTCGGAAAGATGATGTCAGCAAGCACTGTTAACAGTTTAATCACTCTGCAACTGCTGTATCATTTCCACATAGGAGATAAAAGACCCCAAAGAGGTTTCACACAGTAACATCTGCACACAAGATATTCAACCCATACTTTTTAACACCCTACAAGTGAAACAAGGAACAATTTAAAATTCTCTTCATGTTCTACAGAGAGGGTAGGGGCAGTGAGAAATTATACCAAACTTTAACTGCTATTCTTTGAATATCCTGTAATCCATAAAACAGGAACAAACTACAAGGACACCTTTCCACCAAAAAGAAGGCTCTGGGAAAACACTGGGACACAGAAATCTCATTTGCGTTTTGGCTTGCTGTACAGAAATCAAACAAGCCATTTTCTCAATTAATGGTAAACAATATTTCTGTTTGTAAATTTTTTTTATTGCTCATATAAACAGTTCCAAGTATTGTATAAGTAACAGACTTTAAGATTCAATTTAGTTTAAATAATTCCACTAACCTATCCTTAGCCATGCCAGCAGCAAGAGCTATGATGAAGGATTTCTAAAATTTCTAACACACCAATTTTCT